TGGAAACATAAAGTGTCTCCTAAGGTACAATGTTTCTTATGACTTGAATATTTGGGTGGGATTTCCCACAAAAGAGTTATTAGTCTTATGAGGAGTGAAATTAGGAGAAGATGAGCAAAAATGCTTTTGATGCTCATCGAAAATTGAGGAATATAGTCATTTACTCCTAAGGTTTAGGTGGAATTGGGAATTTGGGGCAGAGATCATGAGTTGGTGGTGTGTGAAAGGGTGTTTTCCAAATTCTATATCAAACTTTTTTCGACAAAGTGAATCAATAGGAGAGTGGGGTCAAAGAGGGAGATGAAAACTCAATTTTGGGATTGTTTTGTTGACATTGTGGGGTGCAAGGAATGAAAAAATCTTTGAGAAAAAAATGTAAAATGTATGATTTGGTAGCTCTAGTAAAGGTTAGAACTTTATTTTGGACAAAGGTATTAGAATGGGGAACAATTGTAAATGAGGCTAAGTGGTGGGCGAATTCAAGAGTAGAGTTAAGAACACCTTGTGAGAAAAGGATTAGAGAGAGAAAAGAGGTACAGTGGCAACTACCTGGTGAAGGTTTCTTGAAATTCAATACTAATGGATCAGCTAGGTGAAAGCTAGGTTTTACAGTGGTGGTAAAACTATTGAGAGATGAGGTAAGGTATATACTAGCTTTGTTTTAGGACCAATAAAGGTGTATGAGTCGATCTATGCTAAGTTAATAGCCATAAAAGTGGCGTTAGAGGTCTTTTGTTTGTTGGAGTGTTTTAGAAAGAGGTGTGAAATCACAACTTTTATAAACGCGTAATCTGATGTAGGAATAATGATGTAAACAAGGGTAATTTTGTCTTTTCTTGATGAGTTTGATCTTAATCAAATTATTTGATATCCATAGTTTTCAAACTTATGATTGTTGGAAAATTACTTTATATTTTATTAAATATAATTAAGAATTTAAAAAAATGTCAAAGAAATATTCAAAATATATTCTTTGGAAGTTATTTCATATTTCATTTAGATCTCAGGGAAGTTAACAAAAATGTGTGAAAATATTTAATTAAAGACAAAATTGTAAGTTTGGTACAAGCTCTTCTTTTTACTTTGTCAAAGCTTCCAAAAGAAGCTTAACATTTTCATACTTTTTCTCTTTTAGTTGGCCAACCACTGAGCCTATGTTTTTTGCTTTCTTCCATTTTCCTTGCCATAACCACACAAGACTTCACTCTTCCTTCACCATGTTTCAATTTTGTTTCTTCTTTTGTTTTTTTGTTTTTTAAGTCTCTTCTTCCACCTTTCATCTTTCTTTCTTTTTCATCCTTTGGAATGGCTATTCCTTTCTCCATAGACAAACCAAACATCGGAAGAAACTTTTTGGGTGCTATAAGTGAATAAAAAATAGAGAAAAAATGAAGTACAATTGATCACCTAGTTGATTTAAGATGTACAAAGTTAAGCTCAAAACATATTTACAAAGATAGAAGTGAGCACACTTGAAAAGAGAACTTTTTAACACTTCTAGGCTCTAATCTTGCTCCAGGATCGTTCTCTTCTCATTTATGACCGTTTCAAACCCTTTAAATATTTGGAAGATAGTTTCTAACTGTTACTAGCTATTATTTTGTCTTCTAGTTATTAAATTCAAATGTGCTAGCAGTGACTCTTTAATCTATTAAAGATGACTTCAACCGATTAAGCCTTTTTTGACTTGTAGTCTGTTTCCATACGTTAATCAATTAGAGATGACTTTAACTAATTATGAACTTTCTATTTTCAGACTTCTTCAAGTAGCTATTTCCACGAGCCTTCTTCCAATTGATTAATCCTCCCTTTAATTGATTGAAGCTTCTCTCTCTTCAATCCTTAATTGATTAAAATGGGTTTCAATCAATTAAAAATTCTTTGAACTTGAAACCCCTTATTTGGCGCCTTTTAACGGTCAACATAACTTTGAATTTGAAATTTGATGCTTCTTAGTACTTCAAGTCTAAACTTTGACCAATTAACTCTATTGGTTAACCAGTTAACATGCTTTATTTTTTAATCTGGCACTTTTTTAATCAGTTAAGCCTTGTGCCAACTAATTCAAATTTTTCTGTCTTGCTTTGAAGTAGCACCAGTGCTGCCTTAAATGTTAAGGCCTCTTGTTAATCAATTAAAATTAACCTGTCTCCATTAAGCTCTATCTTTTTTGCTTGTTTAACTAATTAATTGTTTTTATAATTGAGCAAGGTTCTTGACTTCGTTTCAAACAACATATAAGTTTAATAATTTACGCTTTCTGCACACTTAAATAATATAATTGGACACTAATGAATGTGAATGTTTTGTTATCATAAAAAATACATGGAGTCAACATTATCTCTTTTATTTTTTATAATGACAAAACGCTTCTAGATTAAGAGTACAATGTCTATATTTATATTATTTATCTTTGTGCAAGTGAGAGATTACTCTCCCTTAATATATGCTCCCTATAACATGTGCACAAAAAATAATTTCAAGATTTTCCTTTAATCTTTAAATTAGATTTTAATGAATGAGAAATCATAAGCTGTCATACAACTAAGTCATACAAGCTTATAGATAAAGTTCAATAACTTCAAAAGTCAAGCTTGTAACTATGTAAGAATATATATATGCAAGTTAAACCATTTCAAGAACTTATCAAATATCACTTAAATAATGTTCGAACAAATTTAATTATTTTGTCATAATCAAAATTATAATAATTTTAAAACTAATAGAGGAAGTTTAACTCTAGAGATCGTGGCTTCACACAGGCTAGCCACTACGTCAACTGTGGAGGTAATAACCATATGCAATTAGATATCCAACAAAAGGAAAGAAACTGGAGTAGGGTGCCAAACCTGTGAAAAGCCGAAGCATACAACTATTTAATGTCGACAAGGATTCAATCAAACTTATCAACCTAAGATAGCTATTTTTGCGCTTTCACTGTCTGATAGCCGAGATCATGCATGGTCTCTTGACACAGTTGGAACTCAACATATGACTTTAGATTGTGGTAAGCTTAATACTTGCATTCCTTATTCTGGTTCTGATAAAATAATGGTCGGAAATGAAGAGAATCTTGATGTTATTCATGTTGGTAATTACTTCCTGCAACTTGAATCAAATGCCTTGAAATTAGATAAGGTTTTGGTTGTTCTGAAATCAAAGCCAATCTATTATTTGTTGGTCAGTATTTAACTTCACAATTTTCATATAATGGTGAATTTTCTTGTGATGGATTTGTGATAAAGCATAAGGCAATAAGAAAAATAATTGCAAAAGGTAATTTACATGAAAATACATATGCGTTGGTTTCAGAGTTCGTTGATATTATTTTCTTTTAAAAGGCAATAGTAATATCAATGAAATTTTCCATGAAAAATGTCTATTGGTAATAGTTTTTTCAATGAAAAATTTGTCGAATAATTTGGTAAGTTTAAATTATTTTGGCATCTAAAAAATTTCCAACAAAAATTTTTTTGTTAAAAAATTCCATCAGAAAATTTAGTGACAGTAAATATTTCCAACAAAATTTTTTTGTCAAAAAAAGACAATTTTTAAATGTTTGTGTGGCCCTAGTGGCTTGGACATCCAAATGGGAAGGTGGTTGATTTGTTGAAGCCAAATAAAAGCATGAAATTATTTCAATATGATAAATGAGGTGAATTCTCAAATATAAAAAGTTCTGAGACATTCTTACTTGATCATGGAATCAAACATCAAATATCCTGTCCTGACACACTTAGAAAAAATGGATTGGTTGAGAGGAAACATCGCCACATAAATGAACTTGGTCTTCCTATACTGTTCTTGTTCCCATGAAATTTTGAATGGAGGCATTCGAAACTGCAACTTGGCTTATTAATAGACAACCATCTAGTGTATTAAACATGGTGAGTCCAATAGAAAAATTAACTGGGCAAAAACCAGATTGCAATTGTCTATGAGTTTTTTGTTCACGTTGCTTCCCGTATCTCCAACACTATGCAAAGAATAAGTTTGATCCTAAATCATTGCCTTGCATACTCTTGGGCTGTAGTGAATTACATAAAGGTTATCGTTGCTACTATTCCATAACTGGGAAAGCTTTTCTTTCTCAACATGTAATTTTTGATGAAAACATATTTCCATTCAAGGACCGTGGTGATCTTAATTAGTTCTATGGATTGTCTTAATGCTACTGATCTTGTTTCCATTAATGGGTGGTTTTCAGGGAACAACACTTCAAATGCATCATTGAGAGACACATCCACTAAAGAAACCAAGTCACATGCTTATCATGAATAGCCAAAGGAGTCTGCTAATTTAATGCCATCTCGCGAGGTTCTATCTTGCCAGGTAAAACTTAATTATTGCATAGGGTTTAGCCAGATAGTTGCCAAGGAAATTAAGCATAATCTAGAGACTTGAGTGATTGATAATTTGGTATGCTGGCTCTTTAATATACTTTAACTTGCTAATTTTATTCTTTATAAAATTCTTCTATAGTTGATTAATTAGTTCGACATTCTTTAACATACTCCGACTAGTTAACTAATTAGTTTATAATATTTAACTTAGGCTCTTTATTTTGTAAGTCCATTTGCATGCCTGTTTAATATGAAAATTACCCTACTAACGTAGGAAAAGCTGCAGGAATTATGGTGAACCTAGTGTTGGAGAAGCCAAGAAGAGCAGGTTGATAAAGAGAAGGAGAAAAACATGATGAATTGTGGCAGTGTCTTCCACCAGAGCTTTTAGGCCCGAGGAGGAGCATTATTCAAGCTGTTTGTAAAGCATGGCAATCAATCTCCATCACCCCTCCACCTCTTCCTTCCCTTTTTGATCATACACATTCCCTCTTTCCATGATTGATGTATTTAACCCCAAGCTGCAGTATTGTCTGATGCAACTTCTTTAATCCTATCCATAATGGCACTTACCATATTGACAATCTGACTGAAACGTCAGACGTTATAATCCGCTTCGTAAAATATGGTTGGTTGCTAATGTCTCAAGATTGAAACATGGATAATTTCAACATGAATTTCTCTTCGACCCTCTTAACAAATAAAGAGGATTTGTCGTCCTCTTGCGCCGTGTCTGCATGTGATGTCATTAACCTCTCCTTCACATCCATCAAATTGTTCAGTGGTCCTATTTACGTTCTCTGGTCCATCAGGTTATATTGGCGTTTATAAACTTGGGGAAGAAAATTGGAAGCAACATGCTTTTTGGCAGAAGATCATGTTGTCTTGCTCAACGTATTGCAACCCCATTTTATACAATGGATTCTATATATTGCTGTCTGAGCCCGAAGGGGAATTTGCAAGTTTTAGATCCTGAAGACGTTGAACAAAGCCGGCTTGTACTGCCTCGGTGGAAACCGAAGGAGAATTCTTAGCTTTTCTCATCACAGAAAATAAACAAAAGAAAAACTGTTCATGTGTTGAAATGGGATCCCACTGAGAAGATCTTCCGATCAGTGAAAAGTTTGGAAAGCTAGCAACATCCATTAGACAAGGAAATTTCAAATGAAAGAGAGGCGAGAGTCTCAAGTTTTAATACTAAGTCATGATTAACGGTCTAATACATGAGCAAACACTTGATTGTCCAGATTCAATTTTCACAAGGTCAGAATTGAGTAGGAATCATGATTTCCCAATGCAGGGTGTCGGCTTGAGTAGTTGATAGATGGTTAGGGTACCAAACAAAAACACTGGCCCACTCCCAACATTCATGTGGGAAACGAAAAGCGATGAGAAGCTTCAGATTTTCACGCCTGTCTTGATTTCTTGTGAAATTCTAGCGTGGAATGAAGGAGTGCCCCACACAAAGTGAAATCATGGGTAGTCCACAGGGTAAAAGTGTTCTTCTCTGTTTCAGTATTCCAAGTCTTTTTCAGCATTATATATACTTTTCGTGAAGTCGAAGCTTCCTACACAAAGTGAAACCTTCACTTATAGTCTTATAGTTTTACCTAATTCAATCTATTTTCTCATAGCTGGCTTCACGTGATCCTTGAGCTCTTAAACAGCAAAGAACAAAGCAATGCCCAAAACAGAGGAATTGTTTTGAATCAAAGACAACACAAATTAAACATGGGCACCAACAAATAATGAACCTCAAATATGATTTTGTTAGGGACTAATAATCATTATACTTAAACATGAAAATTGATGTCTTTCAACCCTTTATATAATAATCAAGATAATGACAAGGGTTAAGCCTAGGATCCACTTTGCCACCTTTGGGCACATGTGTAAAAAGCTGTGGGTTAGGTCAACTTTTGATGAGAATACTAGATCGGATTTAGACAAGAAAACCTTTTAATTAATTGCAACCACTTTAAAGAACGGTTCCAATTTTTGTTGAATTCATGAAACAACCACTTACATTCAATTCAAACCAATTTCTAGGGATTGCAGCTCCTTAACTTGACATTTAGGGTTAAGCTTAATCATATAATTATATAATAAAGACTCAAATCTATTCATTTAGTATGCATTAGATTGATTAAAATTTTATATAATATATACAAATCTATACAATTACAGGTTTAATCAAATGAATATATACTTTTTATACATCTGTTTTGGTTGAACAAAAGTAGTACTAACATTTGTAAGCTTTGGATTCAAATTCTTTGAAGACACAATAATTGGAGGACTCCTATGGTTATTGAATTAGGTAAAATTATTAATAACAACTTTGATTTTGGCTGTGGTAGGACAACAATTTCAGCTGGCAAAACTAAACCTATATCTATTCTTAAACCAAAAATTTGGGCCCTTTGGACCAGTCCATTTAACCCCACCTTTATTCCTCTTACCCAATCGAAAAAGAAAGGAAAAATAAAAAATAAAAAAGCTAACCAAAACCCTCACAAAAATAAATTTCCCTCTTTCCCACAACCTTCACAGTTCTTCAAGCTTGAAACCCCATTTGGCTCCATTCCCCATTCCATAACAACATCCCTCCTTCCTCTCTTTCCTCACTTTCAAAGTTCAATTTTTTTTCCTTAAAGAAATACAATCAAACAGATAGAAATAATATTCTATTGTTTCCCCAAGCTATTACTGATTATGCTCATTAAATTCTCTTCATGTCCAGTACCCACTTTTCATTAAGGTCAGTTCTCTGCTGGGTTTCTCTCAAAGCCCCCAAATTTTCACTAAGTTTTTAATTTTTTGGGTTTTTTGAAGGTATGGTAACTGGAGTAACCATATTCAAAACCATAACCACCAGAAGATGGGGAGAAAAACCCAACTAAGGGAGGAGCTTCTAGGTCGTGGGCACGACCGTTTCAGGTCAATCCGTTTCGACTAGTGGTAGTGTTGGCTCTCCCTCGAGCCGGAGTGAGCAAGCAATGGCTACACCTGCTAGTGAGAACACTTTTTTAAGATTGAACCATCTCGATATTCACGGAGATGATGCTGGATCTCAAGGTGCAGTTGGGTGAGTGGTTTTTTTTTTTTTTTTAATTTTCTGGGATACCCTTTTAGCTTTAGTTTATGATAATTGTGTTTAATGCTTGATTTGATTATGCGTTTTTTGAAGAAAAGGGTTAAGGGTTTAGGGTAGATTGAAGGAAATTCTTGAATTGTGCTTTATTAAAGTAAATTTTGTATTTGTTATACTTGAATTTGGTAAATATTCACGCATTATGCTAGAATTGAACATTTTTTGTTGGCTACAATGGCAAAGATTGTTTAAATTGGTAAATCTGTTGAATTTTTGGTGCCTGCATTTGTGTTGTCTGTGGCGCTTTATTATTGACTAATAAAAAAAGAAGCAGGTGTTGGCACTGGTCATACATGTTGTAATGCTAGAGTTTTCAATGAATTAACTGATTGCAATTTTTTTTTTTTTTGCAGTAGTAAAAAGAAGAAGAGAGGTCAACGTGCGGTTGGAGGTGATAAGAGTGGCAGAGGACTTCGCCAATTTAGCATGAAAGGTTTTCTTTGCCCCACCTTCCCCACCCCCCCCCCCCCCCCCCCCCTCTTAAATTTTTCTTATCTTTGGACAAATTGTGATTTGTGGTTAGGGACAGATTGGATTAAAACTCAATCACGTATTGTTTCATCTGTAGTTTATGTGCTTGTTTTCCTAACATGGATATTTAAGATGGGTTAGCAGTTGTGGCTTGGCTAACTGATTTGTTGTTTGAATTGTCTTTGATTTCATCCAGTTTGTGAAAAAGTAGAAAGCAAGGGAAGAACCACATACAATGAGGTCAGTTGGTTTCTGAAAGTCATTCTTTCATTCATGTTAATTGTTTTTGATAAACTTATTAGTGTTCATTGCAATAGTGCTTATAGTTGTGTATATAAGGTCTATCCATTTTGGCAGAATTATCTGTATTTTTCCTGAACTTATTCGTCAGTGTCATATGATACATGCAAAATCTATGTCTTTTTCTTTGATACTGCATTAATGGTTTTAGATATATGGGGTTTCGGGTATATGAGATATTGTGAAGAGTAGACCTGACAAATTGATATCATAGGGCTCCTTTCTCATCAATCCATTGTTCTACTCTGATTGCTTACTGATCATCATTGATTGTAAGTGGTTTTTATTTTATCAAGTATCATCCAAGTTCCGCTATGGATACAAATAATTTCTGTACCCTTTCAAATTTTCAAGCGGAATGATACTGTTTTGCTTTTCAAATTAACATCATATAGTAATGTGATTCATAAATGTATAGCTTTTCCTTCTCATGCTACAAACACACACTTGCGTGCATGTGGAGTTGTGCCTTCCTTTTCTAACGTGTCAAAGTTTTGGAAAATTCCTCTTTTGTCTGCTTACTGGAGTTGAAAGTTTCACTACATCTCTCCTGGCTTTGGAATGGTCATCGGTTTTACTCTTTTTCTACCTATTAAGTGTTAGTAGTTTATTTTAGAAGCCCACATCTTTATGTGAGAGTTAAAGCTATTTTCAGGTAGCAGATGAACTTGTAGCTGAATTTGCTGATCCTAGCAATAGTGTAGCATCACCAGATCAGGTTTGCAATTCTTTGGTCTATATTCCTTGATCGGTACACTTGCATCTCTTACCCCAACAAATACAGGAATTTAACTGTATTGCACCTTTCTTTGTTTCTTTTAATTTAACAGCAACAATATGACGAGAAAAACATCCGGCGAAGGGTTTATGATGCCCTGAATGTACTCATGGCAATGGATATTATATCTAAGGACAAAAAAGAAATACAGTGGAAGGGACTTCCTCGTACTAGCCTGAACGATATTGAAGAATTAAAGGTGACGATACAGCTTCAATTTTTGTGTCTTTTATGTTAAGTAGGCTTGATCTGTCATGACTATTAAGTATCTAATATTAGCTTAACAAGCTCCTGAAATGTAAATAATACAGACCGAACGGCTTGGGCGGAGAAATAGGATTGAAAAAAAAGCTGCCTATCTGCAAGAATTGGAGGAACAGGTAAGAATAGCACACTTTTCTTATGTGTGCACTTAAATTGCTTTCTGCATGCAATTAGGTTGAGAATTTTCAATTTTGCTAATGATCAAGTTTCTGCATTTAGAGAGAGAAGTGTTTGAGGTCATCAAGTTTCACTTGGTTCCCTTTGCTTGTCAGTGTTTGTTCATGTAATTGTTTTGTTTCTTAGTTTGTAGGTCTTCAAAATTTGATACAACGAAATGAGCAATTATACAGCGCAGGAAATGCTCCCAGTGGGGGTGTGGCTTTACCTTTTATTCTGGTGCAGGTTTGTTATCTTCTCAAGTTATCTCTTTTAGTAAGTTTTCTTTATAAGGGATTAGAAAATGTCACCTATTGAAATTATGATGCAAAATAAACTCTTAGTTTTGTCTTAAGTTTTAATGGCTTCAATCTGTTATAATAAAGTTTATTTTGAACTTATTCTCTTTGTCTTGTAAAATCTTTTTCTGTTAATCTTGACCTATAATCTTCAATTTGTTAGTCAAATTTTTAGTTTCCTAGCTCCTTCAAATCATTGTTCCTGTGCTTATATAAGAAGCAACATTAAAATTTCACAATTCTCTATTTTTCTGTTTAATTAGAAATGTATAACTCAAAAGGAAAAAGAAATGTATGATCAGCCAACTTTTTCTAGTCTGTTCCAATTATCACTTCTCTAAGGTTTTTGACTAAACTCTGGGGTTTGTTAAGATACGAATCTAAATGCTTGCTTTCTAATTTTTTTTGTTTTGTTTAAACCAGTATTTTGGATCTATTCTTTACTTTGTTTCTGCTCTAAAAATTCTTATCTGTAACACGGCTTGACATCACCAACTTGATGTCTTAAAGCAGGAAATAGTGTACTATGCCTTTTCTACTTGATAAGTGGGGAGTATTAAGGGATTTGGTATGGCTATTTCTCTTCTTCAACTAGAGTTTTGAAATGTCCATAAGTTGGTACTGGCGACTTCTACATGAAAATTGAACCTCTTTGTGATAAAACTCCTAAAAATGTTAATAATATCAATGCCAACTCTATATGAGTATGGAGAAGAAAGTGCTATCTGTAGTTTGAGCATTGATTTATAAATGTCTGCATGCACCACAAGGTAGATGATGCAAATCTATCATGATTGTTAAGTATGCCCACTTTGCCAAAGAAGAGGGAATCATTTCTAATGATCCAAATATCTTTGACAGCTGGCAATAGTAGGGATGAGGTTTGATTGAGGGCATCATGTATTTACTTTTGTTGATGTGCATATTCTACCTATCAAACATAGACACATGCTGTGTAGTTGATATAGATACTCTCTGATGGTTAAATAAATGCAATTTAGGATTGAAGAGGGTTTCGTAGAGATAGTTTTTCTTCACCAGTATTATATTGTATACAAAAGTTTGGTTGCCACAAACTAAATGCATTAGATATGGTGGAAAAGAGCTAAAGGTAATATCATGTTTATCTTCTTGTTGTTTCATGTTTTCAATTTGCTGGAAGAGTGATGCCCAAGATATTTAGGCATATTGTGGGCCTTCATTATTCAACATGTGTTTTACTCTGTCCATGTTGATATTCCAGTTGCACTGATGAATCTGTTGTTATGTGTCTCTCCCCCTTTACCAAACTCATACCTGCCATTGTTTTGTTTTATTTTAAAAAAAAAAACAAGACATGAAGTTTCTTGATTAAGGCTATAATACACGTACTTAACGGATACAAAACATGTTCTTATAGATATTTGGACTCTTTCATTAATCCTGAGGCCTCTTTAACTTCTCTTTTTTCTCTTGTCATCTGGAAATTGTAGACACGTCCTCATGCAACTGTTGAGGTAGAAATATCAGAAGATATGCAGCTTGTGCATTTTGATTTTAATAGGTAAGATCCTCATACCTTGCAACATCCATTCGACGGCAATTGGTGGGTATTTTGAGGCATAATTATCTAGTGTAGGACAAGCATGTTGTCTCATGTTATGACGGGAAACCATGGAATGCAAAAACAGAGAGAAGGGCCTATTCGTGGTAGAGGGATCAATTCGAGAGTTTGATAAATGGATAGCAGCCTTCACTTGACAAGCAAGTGATAATTGACCAAATGCTTAAATCATCTTTTGATTTATTGCTTACCTTTGTATTTTGCTTTTTCATCTTATTGGTGTTCTATTTACAGCACTCCATTTGAGCTCCATGATGACAATTATGTTTTGAAGGCGATGAAATTCTGTGACAGACCACAGAGTGATGAAATGGCACACAATTTTTCTGCAGATGGTGAAGGTTCTAGCATGTCTGCAATGTACCAACAACAGATCCCACCTCCCCCAAGGACAAATACGTCGGGTAGGCCTCCAACGTCACCGCCTCTTCCGGGAATATTGAAAGCACGTGTCAAGCATGAACATTGATAGTTGAGTTTCATGCTCAGCGCCATGGGTAATAGTCTCTACTTGTACATTGTGTAAAGTAATTTGCCAGAAGTGTGGCCTGTAGGATCATCCCCACCCCATAATATTTTACCCAACATTAAAGCCTGATTAGTTGATTTGCTTGAAGGCTTTTCAAGGGGTCTCGGTTCTGGCACGTCCTTAGCTTTTACATCTTCATAAATTTGCCTCCTGTAATTGTTTTCATCCTATTTTCTCATGTTATTTTGCCCCCACTGTAGTAGAAATTAGCTTTTATTTATATTAGACTAGAGATTGTTCGCTGCATACAGAATCATAGAGTGAACTGGTTGTTAAAATCGTGGTTCCTGTTAGTTTTTGTGAAATTGTATAATCAGATCCACTTTAAAGGAAATTCATTTCTGTATAACCGCGATATAAGGTTTATATATTAATAGATTTAATTTTTAAATAATAAATCCAATTTTGCTTATTTATCGCATATTCGGTCCATCAACCATGATAAATGAAAGACTATTCATGGAGAAAAAAACAAAACCTGAATAGGAATTAGAGTATTTATCTTATTACCTGGGGGGTAAAAATAATATCTTCAAGTTCACCAGTGTACTTAGAAAGTTATAGGGAGAAATGTGGGTTAAATAATCAGACATTTATTGTATTGTACGTCTACATTTATGTCAGTCACTGCAAGAATGGTAGGAAGCTTAACAAAAGTCGTTTAGCAAAGATTCCACCATACCATTCGGTTGTGGGTTGAGCAGGAAAAACCCATCGACCTATCAATTTCCTTGCTCTCATTCGCTGGGCGGCGATTCTCTTAGCCACATACCTGTCCCCTTACCCACTCACCATCATCTCTATGTACTTCTCTCTCTCCCTTACCCACTCTGCAAGTTGGCATCATGCATTTAACCACGCCATTCTTTGAAACTGCGAGAAGCAAGACATCCATTTCGTGGAAGGTAAGGTAAACATGTTATATTTATCTAAACATTTGATTTACTTTAATGGATAATTCATAAGCTTTACCCTCAACAAGCAGGATTTTTTTTTTAAAAAAAAAGGGGTAAATACCCAAATGCTATGCTTATTTGTTCAGAATGCGACTTATCTATATCTTAACCGGCTCGGTCACTTAAGTGCCGTGGGGGCCTCAATAAACGAAGATTGATTGAGGGGTGGCCGTGGCATATCCTTGGGCTGTATGTTCAAATGTCTCAAGGAGGAAAAGGGCACCAAAATAAATGAATTAACGTGAAAGTGGTCCTACATATCGTTCAATTACTTAGACATAAATGGTCTGCAAACTTCCAAAATCTTGCAAGGAAAATTTCAAAGACACACATGGAGATGGTACGTGCACCATAGTATACATCACACTCGTATTTTATTATGTAATATATCTTACATTTGGGTTCAAATTGAAGAATCATGTTGTTGCATATTCAAATTGATAAGGGATCCGTTAAAAATCCTCAAAGGGAAACAAGCAAGGTGTTATCAAGTTTTAATATTATTCACCTTTGGTTTTTTGGCAATTGGTAGCGGAGAGAGCTTTGCCATATCGGCGGAGAAACAGGAATACTGGATACGGAGCACAAGACTAATGGCCACTCGGCAAGTATGGGAAGCAGCATTAAAACCAAAGAAACAGAAAGTACATATAAGCATACGACCACGGGCATCCCGTGGTGATATCAGGTGAAGAAGCAGAGGCATAATCCTTACTTGGCGTCCCCTGATTGGTTCTTTTGCATAAGTCCCACGTGCTACAGCCTACGCATCACATGGTCGCAGAGTACAGATTCTCAAGTGAAGTGAAGCAACTAGCAAGCAAACCGTAAAGCTATATTCATCATTTTCCCGTAGCTACGAGTCGACTCCTTCAGCCTTTTAACTCTTGCTCTTCCAGGGGCTCAAATACTATTAAATGCTTGTTGGTTCTGCAATCAGTTAGCTACCATCTTCATTCATCTCCCAACATTTGACATATCCAACAAGTCTCCATTTATCTGCATTTGCACCTGCACCTCTTTCTCTACACTTCCAGCAGCCAGGGAGATGAACAACATTCTCCATGGACCGTTGCTGAAAATCTTGCTGGTTAGATGGAGAGAGGTGCAGATGCAGGTGCAGACAAATGGCCTCTTGGCTTTATCTCTCGCTTTCAATTTGGTGCACATCACATGGACGTTATCTTTACAATATTGTCTCCTATCTAAGGTAAAAAACAAATGATTTCAAGCTGTAATTTTTTTTGTTTTTGAGCTTATGCTTATATAAAACATACTTTCCATAGACATAGATACATTTTAGTTAACATAGACATATCCATTCAAATACATATACCTATTGTATATTAGTAGGCATGTACGTATATGTATATGGAAAAAATTGCAGCTTATCTTCTTAGAGGTGTAAAATTTCCCTATATATTCTGCTAAAGTTAATAATGTTATTTGAATTGGTTTAGATTTATTAGTGTTTCAACCTTGAAGAGTCTCTTGCCAAACTTAAACCAAGCTTTTGGCTTGGTCTTGTATTTGGTTTGTCTTTGCCAAGTGTTAAATATTAAATAATTAAATGTACTGGAGTATAATAATAGACAAATTATTCGAGTATTTGATTTAAATTTTTTTTTATAATTAGAGGAGAAAAAATTCAAATCATGCTCTTTAAATAAAAAATTTATGTATCAACCGATTAGTCAAATATTCGAATACAATATTTAATTTAAGTTTGATTATCTTTTTTTTAAATAAATATAATAAATAAATAAACCAAACCTTACACAGACCTCGGGCTCGAGCCCTCTGGCTCAAAACGCGAGATCCAGGAAGCATTTGTCGATACATACGACGTCAGTACTAAAATTAAAACGGCATCGTATCTCACAAACAAATATAAAAGAAAGCACCGCCGCACCTCTTCGTTTTCATTTTTTGCGTCTAGGGTTTTCCCAAGGAGTCTACTACAAAACCCTAATTTCCAGCCATTCAGAATAGTTTAATTAGGAAGGGGGAAAGATGGGAGGAAAATGTCCAAGCAGGAAAGTAAAGAAGAGAAGATATTCTCACAAAACAGCTCGCCGCAACAAATTCCTCGTCAAAGATATCCTTTTTTTTGTTTTAATTTTGATTTAATGGAATTTTCCTTTCTTTGTGAGCAAAGTTTTTTCTTTTTACTCAATCATATTTGTTGTTCCTTGACTGAGAGATTTTTCGATTCACGTGACGACGCCGTTTATGAGGAGTTGCAAAAGGGTGATTCGGAAAACAAACCGTTGCCTCGCGATGAAGACTTGCCTGGAATGGGCCAATATTACTGCTTACATTGCGAGTAAGTCTAATTATTGAAGAAATTTTATAATTTGATTAAGTTACTCTTTTTTGTTACTAGAGAAAATGAAAAATAGAAAAAAAAAATTGAATTACAGTATAATTAAAATATAATTTTGTTGATTTATATTTTCAGCCGATATTTTGCGAATGTGACTGTGAGGGACGAACATTACAAGACGAAACGTCACAAGAAACGGTGAGTAAAGCCATTTTCTAATTTCCACTTTCCTTTGGCTCTGTATCTCGTTTGTTTCTAACTCGGTAGGAAGTCTTACGGGTAATGTGGGATTAGATTAGTATCCCGTTTGGGTTAAGAACTCCCCATGTTATTGAGATTTGGTTGTTTTGATGTTTAGTATAATTTCTCAGAATCTTCATAGCTCTAATGCCAACTGAACAATGCGTTTCTTGGTCGTACTAAACTAGAAAGCATGTGTTAGGTGACAGCACTTCCAAATTACTCGGATTTCTATGTAAAAGTAAGCTAGTACTTCCATATTTGTTTCTTGAACTTTTAATCATGATTGTAGCTTTTCCTTTTTTCATATTTGAATATTGCGTAATCTGACTCTGAAATAGAGTTTTGCAACTTAGATTGGCCGATGGCTGACTAGTCGTGTATCAGCAAACAGAATCTGATGATGCCATCTGCTGATGGATTAAAATGTTAAGACTAATGCTTGCAGTGGGCATATCTTAATAGAGGAAAGGATGTTCTGTTTGATTTATGCTTTGTTTGGTTCAGATTGAAGCAAATGTCGGGGCCTGCACCACATACACAACTTGATGCCGAGTTAGCTGCTGGGATGGGTATGCCGGATAATGGACCAACATTAATGTCAATGTGAGCCTTTCTGAATTTGGCTCCATCCGTGATGTGCATTGTTCTGCTGATCCGTGGGCGAAGTTATCGCTCCTGATTGCAGAGGATTTTTGGGTGCTGTAGAATTTCTTCAGAGAAAAACTGATTGTATTACCTGTTTTAGAAACGATAAACCAATGTTGCATTCCTTATACTAATGTTTGTTTGGATAAGTGGGTTCTTTCGGTTTTTTTTTCTTCTTTTTCCTGTGTCATTATATCTTAAAATTTTGTAAGCAATATAATGTGGATGAATATAGTGAGTACCAGAGATCATGTGTCATCCTTTTAATTTTTCAGTTCATTTCTAAATCAACCGTATCTGTTTTAACAATAGATTGATTGTACTCTGCTGACATCTTCACCTGTTACACCAAAAAAAAAAAAGAACCATTTATTTTCATTGTGATCCTGCCAAAAGTCATGGCTATCCATAGAGGTAGAATATTAAGTGGGTGGTTTGGTGACGGCGCAGCCTGCCCCTGTCTTGGTGCATGATGGCATGGCGCGGGTCTTATTGGACTTTCATTTGAAATTTTTATGTCTGCTTTATATGATTTTAAGAATTAATTGAATCTCAAAAAGGAATCTTACTAATTTGGTAGTATGATCTTTGTAAGTCAAAAGAGACAAGAATTTAATTTACCATATAGTAGTTAATTTTATTTGATTTTACAACAAAATGTTAATTTATATATATTGGGTCAGACCTGACCTGGCCCTATCCATAAGGCCTATGGGCAGCAGACCGGGTCAAGCCATCTACGCAGGAAATCTGGGCCATGCCCTCACGGCCAATATTTCAGCCATTTTGGGTCGGCCCAACCCCACTTCTAACTACACGCTTGATACTTGTCAAGTTGGGGCTCTGTAGGGGTTCAACTTTTCCATCCTATACCATTTGAGGATCTTTATTTATACTGCAATTGGTTTGTAGCAGAGGGATGTAAAAAGTGTCAGTGTGGTGATGACGACAAAAAAAATGGCTTATTGGTCTCTAGATGTCACGTGAGCATGTCCTTGTTTCATCATGATGGGGTTTTAGATATGCTAGTTAACAAAATCTATAATGGAAAATGCTTGTCATGGCCACTATTTCCTGCTCTTCTCCATTGATGCCTTGCTTGAAGAATGCTTATGTGCCTTGAATTGCGGTGCTAGATACAAGAATGGTGGAAAGTGGAGCTTATTAGGATTAAGCAAGTTAAGAAGTTCATATGCTGCACTAGATATTTCCTCATTTTGTGTCATCTAGCAGTATTGGACAGGAAAATAGTTAAAAGGAAAGATGTGATTCATATCCAAGTTACAAACCCAACAACATGCTCCATTTATTTCTTTTAGAAGATAACGAGAATGCTTGTTTTGGGGGGGTTCAGAATCATGGCATGTATGCTTGTCTGTTGGTGGGTTACTTTCTTGTAAGCTATTGATTGGTGCATAAAGCTTGTTGATTTGCCTCTAGAAACAGAAGTTGCCTCCATACTATCATGCTGCTTGTAGGTGGAGCATAGTTATTATCTTCAGATGTTCAATCTTGGAGTTTCTGGTTTGCATTTCTTGTCTTGAATAAATTATAACTTTGGACGGAAGGAAAGGTGGAAGCTTCAAGCGGGTTTCCTAGTGGAGCATTATCTGATGTGGATTCTGTTTTTTTCTTTGCCCTCGAGTGGAGGAAATAGCACTTCTTTTTTAAGTCATGGGATTGCTTCCAAATCGACCAGATATCAAAGGCCTGTCATTGTTATTAGGTCTAATCTAGCCAAATCTTCTTCTCTTATGCACTTATGATTCTGGTTTTGTTTTCTGCTTAGGTACATTCTTATCGTTTTCAAGTAATTAGCTTTACCAACAAATTACAAATTGTAAGACTTTTGAAACCTACTCCGGTAAAGTTGTGATTGATGTGCCCTGTTTCGTCCATGGTTGAGGCCTGAATATTTTGGCGTCTTCTGTTTGCAATCGTATTAACCTGCGTGGCGCATTTGAGTGTTTTAAATGTTGCGGAGCCAAGAGGAGTATCCAATATCAAATGTTTGAGATTGCCCTGTCTCTCCTCTTGTTTTTAGTCATTACCATTTCCAATGTCGACAAAGGAACAAGAGTAGCGGTCAGTACTTTGCAGATGTGTCATCCTCCAATTACCACCCAAAAGTGCAAAAAAGCTCTCAGCACTTGAAGACACAGACCAATCCTTCTGCAAAGTGCCATTCCCAGCAACGGCCCATCAGTGGATCTGTGGCCACTAACATCCGTATAGTGTTTCTTTTAACAAACAAAGAGATTAGGGAGAGGGTCCCACACGCTCACATTGTATCCTCATGAGGCCATGAACCAACACCATCATCCCTCTGTCATTTTCCCATCCAAGTTTCCCTTTCTTTTTCCCTCACGCTTGTCCACTACTAGCTACTATTGGCTGAACCTTGAAGCTGTTGGCATGACTTTTCTCGTAATTTTCCTTTTGGGTCTTTTGTCTATTTTCATCTTTTTTCTTTGACTCTTTGTTTTCCCTCCGGTTGCTATCTCTTCTTAAGAGGATTCATTGCACATGTGCAACCACCATGTGAGCTTCACCTCAATTATTTTGTTCCCCGCTGGGTCTCCCATTAATATTCACATACCCAAGTAGAGATCAGATTGGGATAAATATCCTGATTGCCATGAACCCATCATCTTCAAGCTTGGATTCTGATGGATGAAATGCCAAACGTGTCATTCTTTTTAAGGTCCTCAACGACAAGCCCATTAGATTATCCATTACTATGTATAATGTGATCAAACTTATGAAAGTGATTGAATTCTAACATGCATCAAAGTTAATCATTTGTCGTGGATATCAACTGGACTCCATGCAAGATTTGACACCTAAATAAATGTTTGGCCTGCATTTGCTCACTGTGTCCCTCCCTGAATTATTTCTCAGATATTGGCTTGACTTTCCATGCAATATCCTCCTTTTTCTCTTGAAAGGAGAGTGGACAAACAAATTACATATGGGATGAAATGCTTTTCCGATACCCTTTTTGATGGAAATATATTTAATCTATTTCAATCTCAAGGAACTATTTGTCATTATCATTTCCTTAGGAAGACCCATGAAGATAACATATACGGTTAAAAGAAAAAAAAACGATAATGGACATATATTATACTGTAACAAAACATCAAATTCAGAGTAAACACCCAAAAAATCTTAAGGGGTATATGGGATATACTCCTCCTTTTCCACTATTTCTTCTTTAAGTTCTCTAGGCTTCTCTTTCATTGTCATCTTTTGGTCTTGCTGAGGAACTTGAGCCTGATGTCATTCCAACGACTTGGCTATGCGTAAACCTTTGTAATTGTATCATGCGGGCATAACACCCATCGGGATAATTTTTTAGCAAATGTGAATGGCTTCCTTGCTCTGCAACTTTCCCATCATCAATCACTGCAATGACATGAGCATTCCTAATTGTTGATAACCGATGAGCAACCACAATTGTGGTTTTCCCTGAGCAGGCTCGGTCCAGGGCCTCCTGGACTGATCTCTCGGACTCAGCATCAAGGGCACTTGTTGCCTCATCAAGCAGCATAAGCTCTGCCTTCCTCACAAGAGCCCTGGCAATCGCAATTCTCTGTTTCTGGCCCCCAGAAAGTTGGACTCCTCTCTCCCCAACAAAAGTTTTGTAACCATCGGGCAACGAAGATACGAACTTGTGGGCATTGGCTAGAGTAGCTGCCTCAATGATCTCAGCCTCAGTCGCTGACTCATGCCCATAGGCAATGTTTTCACAGATGGTAGAAGCAAAGAGGCATGGCTCCTGTGGAACTATTGCAATGTGTTTTCTCAGGGATTTGAGGTTGTACTTCCGAATGTCTTTTCCATCAACCATAACACGTCCAGATGAGGGCTCATAGAATCTCTGTACAAGTGCAATGACTGAGCTCTTACCACATCCACTCGGACCAACAAGGGCAAGAGTTTTTCCAGCTCGGGCACGAAGATTAAGGTCCCGGAAAATTGGTACATCAGGGCGTGAGGGGTAAGAAAAGTCTACATGCTTTAATTCAACTTCTCCACGAAGGCGGTCAGGAACTTGTGTGGCATCTGGGTCATCAGGCTCAATTTCAGTTTTACGGTCAAGAAGATCAAAGACTGATCGCATGGCTCGACCTCCCTTGATGAAGTCAGGAGCCAAGGTTAATGTTTCAGCTGCACCATTGGCGGAGACCATGAGAACCATAAAGACTCGGATTGTCTTTGAAAAATCAGAGATCCCATGCTTCACAAGCCAGGAAGCATACCAAAGGCCAAGGGCATAAGAAGCATATAGTGAAAACTGAGCTACCCCAAACCCGCTTCCTGCAATTTGTCCCTTCCAGAAACAGCGCCTTAATGGAGTATTAAGGTTTGAGGTGAAAAGGCCAACAATTTTGTTTTCCGAATTGAAGGCAGCAACAGTTCTTACGTTGGCTATGGCCTCTCCAGCTAGTTGCGTGGCCTTGGCATGAGCAGCTTCTAAATCTCCTGAGAAACCTTTCATAAACATTTTCTGTTGAAAATCCAACAAATTCAGTTAATAACTGGATATCTGATCAATATTAAATAAAGGCATTACTTGTAGAAAACAAAATTGATAATTAAATTTTCTAAATTTTTGGAGTAGCGAATCACATTAGCTCAACAAGTAGATAAAACAAAAGTGTAGGGCATATAGTTCAAATAACTCAAAAACTATCACGTACCAATATCACTTTCAGCATAATTCATAACCATTTTAATTGCGAGGTATTATCAGATTAATTTAATTGATCACTGATCAATTGTAGGAATCCATACTTGATAACATGCATGTGCAAGAAATTAGTTCCAGAAACAAACCTGCAAAACAGTTGCTGCCACGACCACAGGGAAGACTGCAACGAGGACAAGGGCTAAGCGCCACTGCAACACAAAGCCAGCAGTGCAGGCAACAAGCATGAGTGCTGTGTTCTGCACAATCACTGAAATCCGATCTCCGATGGCTGATCTGACATTGTTGGCATCAAGAGCCAGCCTTGCTGCAATCCTGGCACTCTCATTTTCCTCCTGATCAAACCATGCCATTTCATTTTTCAGCACTGCTGCCAGCATCTTCTCTCTCACTCGTTTTGTGAGATTTTCTCCCACAATATCCCAAAAGAAATGCTGTAGTGTGTTGAAGAGAAGGGCAGCTGATGAAAGTCCAATTAATAAATAGCAATATTTCCCAATTTCTCTGCTCATATAAGCATGATCTGGGTTGTAGTAG